GGAGTATTTTTTCGGATTCTGAACAATGTTTTCGTTCAAATTTATCTTTACATGAAAAGTGGCTAAATTTCAATTACTTTTAAAACTGTGGCTATTTTTGAATGACCACTTATAAATCTGGTTATTTTTTAATTTCTCCCTGCACGGACATATTTGAAAATGGGACGCATGAAAGAATATGGGAAAAGGTTGTGAAGAAAAAAGAAATGAATAACTAAAAGAAAAACAATTATTAGTAATGAAGAAATAAAGGGCGAATTAACCAAAATTCAAAGGAAAAATAATTGTACCAAACATTACCGCATGCTCCTTCCCCTTATTAATAGTAGTAAATAAAAAACAACCATCATCAACATTATGGACTTTCTGGCTGTAAACTGGAAAATCAATCTTTATTTTCAAATATGTAGGACTATATATAAGAACAAATTGAGGACCAAATAGGAGCAATTAATATAGTGAGGAGAAAGTAACATTCAAGGTGTAGTCAGGACCAATAGAGACCATAGTAAAGGAATAAAAGATTGCAAAGAAAAGTAAAGAATAAATAAAAGGAACACAATTAATCAATGAAGAAATAAAGGAAATGTAAAAATTCAAAAAAAAAAAAAATCAATCGAGACCAAAAAAATATTTGATCATTTATTCTAATCTGTTTTAATTTTTGTGGACAAAGTTCTTTATATTTATGCTGGAAAAAGGTAAGAGGTACTCAAAACTTGAGAATAATTGATTTTTACACAAGATAACCCAGAAATTATGTTAATAAAAGATAGAAAAGGCCAGAAAGAGAAGGAAGATTGTCCCTTGTAACCTCTCACTTCTGTATGATCACGTTCAACTCTAGTTATAAAAAAAATAAGTGGATGATGTAAATATAATTCGGTCTAAAAGTCTGGAGTCAAATCCCATAGAGAACTGCGACTTAGCTATAACTGTTCAATATTGCTAAGAAGACAGGCTCAAATAATTTCTAAGTTATATTGATTGCAATTCCTGTTTTAAACTAATTAATTAACAACTGTTAGAAGCAGCAAAAATTATTAACTAAGGAGATTAAAGGTTGAAGACAAAATTAAGGAGACCTAGGGTTACGATTTCTCCAATTGTCAGAATCCTTAATTGATACGTTAGCTATAATTTTGCCAAGTCATCTACTGATCGTGAGCACTCGACTTACTGCAATTCTCTCTAAATCAATCACGTTAATTTACTAGATATATACGCTAGCTGACAATTTCTCATAACTAATTATTAAGGTGTCTGTGGTTCGGTTTGGATCGATTTTTCCCTAAAAAGAAACCAAATCAAGTAAGTCGGTTTTTCAAATATTGAAACCAAACCAAACCAATTAAATCGATTATTTATTAATTCGGTTTATCTCGGTTTTTGTCGATTTTCAAATTTTTCGGTTATTTATCAATTTTTTCTTAAATATGAGACATACACTACCAAACACATATTCCGGCAACTACTCTTTCAACGTAACACTATGTAATCAATTGTTCTTTGAGAATCTATCATTTACCAAGATATATTGATGATGAATGAATCAAATAATGATGAATAATTTAAGGACTCAATTAAAAATAGTTTTTTTTTTACATGAAATAGATTCTTGTGCTTAGTAAAAGAAAACCACCAATTAAACAAGAATGTAAAGGCAAAGAACAAGATTATTAATATGATAGCAAAGAACTAGACTAGAAGTGCAAACGATTAACATGTACCATAAAATTTAGAAATTTTGTACACACACAACAACAACAACAATAACAACAACAACAACAACAACAACAAACCCCGTATTTTCCTACAAGTTGGGTCTGGGGAGGGTAAGATGTACACAGCCTTACCCCTATATAGGTGTAATAATAAATTTTAAATAGCTACTTCTATAGTCGATGTGGTTCGGTTTTTTCGGTTATTTTTTTATTAAAAGCAAAACCAAACCAAATTTGATCAGTTGTTAAAATTCAAATCAAAACCAAATCAAACCAAACCAAAAAAGTATCGGTTTTTTGGTAGGGTTGGTTCGGTTTTTCGGATTTTTATGAACACCCCTACTCACTATGATCATGTCAAAGTTCCATTATCTCTAATCCCGCTTTTAGACCTGCAGTATTGATCTCTCATATACCTAGGGAGTGACGTTGTTCAACACCTACCTAAATACATCTTCTCTCTCGAGCAATACATAATAAATATGCAATGTTAATTGGGATATCTTTAACTAACTAAAATAAGCACGAATAATTGAACAAATAGAGTAATCTAATGGCCCAATGTAACAAAACATATCAAGAATTCATCATACAACAGGTTCATTAAAACCCTAGATATAGAATTGCCTACTCATAATAGTATGTAAAACTACAATACTAAAACTCATAACCAATAGTTAAAGATAGGAAGAAGAAAGGAAAAACTCGTTGTTGAATCTTTCGCCTTGCTCCTAGCGTATTCTTGCCTCCAAAAGTGTTTTGTTTCTCCAAAGTAGTGTCTCTCAAAAAGTGACTAGAAGTAGGATTGAGTTGAGGCGGATTTGAAATCTTGTTTTTCGGATTGGAGAAGTTGGAGGCACGTCCAGACACGCAACTCATGCTATTCCCAGTTGTTGTTTTTTTTTTTTGCTCCGTTACCGGTCTGGCGAAGTGAACATCGCTTTGCTGTTCGGGACTTTCTCTTAAGCTCTTTTTTCCGCTACTTTTTTGTTGGTTTTTTTTTTTTAATATATTAAATACATAAAAGAGGGTGAATGGAAAATGGAGGGAAATGAAATTTTTGAGTGAAATTTTAAATTTCCCCCCTTGGCAAATGGACATTGTCCCATATTGGAAGAGGAAGAGGTTTTTTATGGGTATATAAGCAATTGCTCTTCTTCTAGCTCTTAAAGAGTTAAGAAGAAGGCAAGCCTCGCGCCGCCGTCGTCGTCGCTCGCTCGGCTCGGCTTCGGCTTCGGCTTTTTGGACCAAAATTATTTGTTAATAGTAAAATATTAACAGAAATGTTGGATTTGGTCAAATGATTGATTGATTAATTTTTTGGACCAAAATTATTTGTTAATAGTAAAATATTAACAGAAATGTTATTAAATATTTATTTTAATAACATAATATTAATATTAAAATAAATATTAATATTAAATCCTTCAATGCGTTTTTTCTGTTTTGGTAACAGAAAAGTAACTACCCTCTTCAATTTTCCCTCTTTATTTTTCCTCTTTATTGTTGAGTAAATAGCCATTTATGTAATGGCATTTATGCTGTGGCCGTTTTGCATAAACAGCCATTCTGAAGAGTTGCACCTCTTCAGATTCCAGCCCAACTTTGGCTATAAATACAAGGCTATTCTGCTCACAATTTCCATACGATTTTCTGAGTTTCTCCTCATTCTTCTACATATTTTTAGCATCAAACAAAGTAACAGTAAGTGTAATTTGCTACCGAACTTTGTGTTCGCTGAAACACTGGGTTTGAAATACCACTACACCAGTGTGTAATTCGTTCTATCCTGGGAGGAAATAATCCATAACCTTGGGTACTAGGAGGGGATTAAATTCCTTAAGGAAACACAGTGAATTCGGTGGGCTCGAATTGGTTTTCCGTTATTTCGTTGTTCATTTCTGTTTATGTTCATTTCTGTTTATGTTCATTTATATTTCCAGAATTATTTTACAAATACAGTATACTAACATTTTTCTCCTATTTGATCCTTTTTCGCCTAAGTTTATTTCTACACGTAAGAAACACGTAATGAGCATATTTTCATTTCAAAAGCAACTTGAATTCCCGTAACTCACACAAGAAATAATGTACAAATACACTCAAAACTTGCACTTTTCATCCTTTTATGTATAATCTTCTTTTATTTATTTATTTTTCTTCAGAAAAGTACTTTCTCGTGCATGATGATTAAGCAGTAACAGCTTATATGTATTTAATTGATGCAAACAAGTATGTGGATAAGCCTTCCTTTCTTATACCCCTTCCCCTTGTTAACCAAAAAGCAACAACACTATTAATAAACTGTTGACTCGATTAAGGTCTGAATAATTAAAAATCATATCTTCGTTCCTACTAAAACTCCGAGCGAATTAAATAATTTTCGCCACGAATGACTATATAACAACAATTTGAGGACCAAATAGGAGCAATTAATATGGTGGGATGGTTCAAGGTGTAGCCAGGACTAAATAGAGACCAAAGATACAGCTTGCGGACACTGTTGACTCAACTAAAAATATACTTAAAAAACTATAAGGAAGAAAAGTAAGCTATATTGACCAAATTTGCCCATTAATTCTATGGATGGATAAAAGCTGCATTCTATTTCAAGTTTGGACTTTAAAAGAAAAGTAATTCAAGTGTGGATTTAGGTTATACAGATTAGTACTTTTTACGTTAAATAAGTGTAGTTTAATCTGTTATATCAAATATAATTTTGAGAATTTGAGAAACATATATTTTTAATCGCTCGCAAAAATAATAGCCGATAAAATGTATAATTGTTTGGATATAATCGTATTTTATCAATATAATATATGTATTTTTGGCAAGCGAATGCAATTAATTCTGCCAGTTCGGTCAATTTTTTATTTTACCCTATAATTTTCTAGTATCTTTTTCAAGCTAAATCAAAGTTGATTATAGAAAATTATGTTAAAAACTCACCCCCATCAAATGTTTATACTAAATGGATGCATAATATGCGTTTGTGTATAGACTTATCACTTTTAATTATAATAAATTAATATATATTCTCACTTTATTAAATTACGTAATCATGATAAGTTAGACGTAGGGCAACCTGGTACACAAGACATCTCATTTTTACGTAGGGTTGGAAAAAGAGTCATGAGCTTAAACAGTCTACGGCTCTATGCTAAAGTAAATATTAGTGGCTGGTTCCACGGCTCGAAACCTCCCACACGCTATGCCTTTGCCTATTCTTTCCTAAAAGGGAGACTTAGTCTTTGGTCCTTAGTCCTCACTCTCTGCCATTTCTAAGCCGCGTTTTCCTTTACTTTGATTCTTCAACACTCCCAAATCATAAACCCCTCTCCCTTAAAGCTTCTTGAAACCTCACAACATTATACAAATCTTGAACACAAAAAACCACCATTGTTTACTCTCTAAAAAACCATGAAAGCATATTCAACCACACCATTTCTATGGCCATTCTTGATCAAAAAACTCACCTTTTCTTTTCTTTAGTATTTCTTTGCTTTCTCATTTCCTTTTCACCCATTTCTTCACTTTCAACTGTTTCCATTTCAAAAACTTCTAACCAAACATTAATTTGTGCATTGATTTCCTCCTCCTCCTCATTTCCTCAACAATCTTCTCTCAATTGTACTAGTTTTCCTCAAGGAATTCAAATCCCTTTAAATCCTTCAGTTTCCTTTTCTGGAATTGTAGGTGGGAATGGTTTCCTTTGTGGGTTGACTTCATCTTACTCTTCTTCTACTTCAATCATGGTATGTTGGAGATTCTCAAACAATGGTACTAACTTGTCTTACAAAAGGATTTATCTTGGTCCATTGATCACAAATCTTGATTCTGGAAATTCCCACATTTGTGGAATTGTTAATAATAGGCTTGAATGTTGGCAGTGGCATGAATTTAATTCATCAAACAGAAGTTTGATGAGTTCAAATCTTGCTGTTGGAGAAGATTTTGTTTGTGGTTTGTTGGAATTTGGTGAAATCCAATGTTTAGGAAGTTTCAGAAATGTCACTGATGCTATTCCTTCAGGGAATTATAGTGAAATTGCATCTGGTTCTCAACATGTTTGTGCTATTTCCAAGAATAATAGTTTGATTTGTTGGGGAAATATGGTAGGAGAAAAGCCTATTGGCCAATTCAAATCACTTGCTTTAGGTGATAATAGGAGTTGTGCTTTGAGGATTAATGGGACAGTTGTTTGTTGGGGAGAAACTGGTTTTAGTCTGCCTTCATCTTTGAGTGAGGAATTTTTTGAAACATTGGAAGCAAAACAAGACATTTTCTGTGGTATTGTGACCTCAAATTATTCATTGTTTTGTTGGGGCAATGACATTTTCAATTCAAATCCAGTAGTTTTTAATGGTGTACAAGTAGTTCCGGGACCATGTACTACTTCATGTCCTTGTGTACCTTTACCTAATTATGAGACATTTTGTGGTGAGGGACTAATGATATGTACCCATTGTGTTTGGCAAGAATCCGGTGTGAATCCACCAATCGTTAACGGGTCGGGTCCTGCACCACCACCATTGCCCCCACAGCCAATGCCACCGTCAACGCCATCTCAAACGAGTGGAAGAAGCGATCCATGGAGTAGGAGGAATGTGGCATTTCTAGTGGTAGGTTGTATTGGATCCTTAATGATGTTGAGTGTCCTTGTTATCTTGTTTTTCAAGTATTGCAAGATCAGAGGATGCAGAGTACACGACTCTGGCCGCCTTGATGAGGCGGGGTCACCGCCCCAGCAAGGCAGCCAGACGTCTGGAGTTCAAGATCAACAAGGTACACCTCAACCACCGGTCTTGAAAAAAAGACTTAGTCAATTGATTAGTATAGGGAATGGGGGTCACCTAGAAGAATTTTCCTTGCAAGTGTTACTTCAAGTGACTAAGAATTTCTCCGACGAGCACAAAATTGGGAGTGGAAGTTTTGGATCTGTATATCATGCTAGATTAGAAGATGGGCGCGAAGTAGCCATAAAAAGAGCTGAAGCTTCAGCCTCATCTTCCTATGCTGGTGGCACAAAGTATAGACAAGAGGACAAGGACAATGCATTCCTCAATGAGCTAGAGTTTTTGTCGCGCCTCAATCACAAAAACCTTGTTAGGCTATTAGGGTATTGTGAAGATAACAATGAACGTGTCTTGATTTTCGAGTACATGAACAATGGCACTCTCCATGACCATCTCCACAGGCTCGAAAGCTCTCCACTAATGTCATGGCCAGGTAGGATCAAGGTGGCATTGGACGCGGCACGTGGCATTGAGTACCTGCACGAGTACGCAGTGCCACCTGTCATCCATCGTGACATCAAGTCATCCAACATATTGCTCGATGCCACGTGGAATGCCAAGGTGTCCGACTTTGGATTGTCCTTAATGGGGCCTCAAGATGACGAAACACACCTTTCTATGCGCGCTGCTGGCACGGTCGGTTACATGGACCCCGAGTACTACAGACTGCAACAACTGACGACAAAAAGTGATGTGTATAGTTTCGGAGTAATGTTGCTAGAGTTGTTGTCGGGTTACAAGGCAATTCACAAGAATGAGAATAGGGTACCAAGAAATGTGGTTGATTTTGTTGTACCATACATAGTACAAGATGAGATTCATAGGGTATTGGATCATAGAGTTCCACCACCAACACCTTTTGAAATTGAGTCTGTGGCATATGTAGGTTATTTAGCAGCAGATTGTACCACATTAGAAGGTAGAGATCGTCCAACTATGACTCAAGTTGTAAATACACTAGAAAGAGCCTTGAAGGCATGTTTGGCTACTCCAATTTTCTCTCGGTCTAACACCGATGATTCGTCCACATAGGCAGCATGCTTTGACACGTGTATATTGTAATTACACATTTTTCTTATTTTCCTATATATATATATATATTTAAATTATTGGAAAAATGTATGATCCATATTTTAACTAGAAGGATTAACTCAGATAGCCTCTCATCTAATTTCTTAAACTAAAAATAGTCGGCGGATGAATAATATATGTATCATTTATGTATAATATGTGTATAACAATGTATGATCAATGTATAATTTATATACACCGGATTGAAAAAGTAAACAATAATTTGGCCGGCTAATTGTGTAACAATCTCTTTCAACTAAGAAATTTTGATATTAGAAGTTACATTGAAAAAAAATATTGTAATTTTTCAATCAAAATAGTTTTAAAAAAAGATTAAGTAATAGTCAAAGTTTACATTACTTTGAATCTAGGTAATAAAGAAAAATTAAAATATTTCCTCCAAGATTTAGAAAGTGTATGAATTAATACCTACCACAAAGTGAATTAACAAAAGTGGATGACAGAGCTCATTAATTTAAAATTTTCCTTCTGACCTTCCATTTGAATTTTCCTTTTCAATTTTATAATTTTTCAAAGACAGAGTTGGCAATTAGTACTACCATTAAGTCAAAGAAAAAAATATTGAAAATCAAATAATATAGAGAGTTTACCAACTATAACTTGGTCCTTTTTTTGCTTTTGTGGGGATGATTAGGTCACATTTGTAGAAATGTGCATACAATTCAACAATATTCCAAATTGACCTGTATTTTCTTCCTTTGTCTGTTTGAACAAGCCTTATATTATTAGTAACAACAAAACCTAGTGAAATTTCAGAAGTGGGGTTTGGGAAGGGTAATCCATACGACACCTTACACTTATTTTTGTGAAGGTAAAAATATTATTTTTGATAGAACATCGGCTCAAGACAAGAATAATTGTAATAGTTTTGAAGAAAAAAAACAATAGTAGAGAAACTATAAGAAAAGAATATGATTTAAAATGTTGATGAAGAAAAAGTCAACTTGCTATGACAAAGGCATATATAGTAAGGTCACCTTCTTCTCTTGTTCTTTTCTTTTTGTTTAATATTTTTAGAAATGAATGGGCTTTGCCAAGTCAAGCCACCATAATTGCTAAAGTTTAATTCATGACTACAAATTCAATAATTTGATGGCTCCTTATTGCAATAGATTAATTTCTCCGTCTCAATTTATGTGATATATATATTTATTTTTTTTATTTAGTGGCAGCTCGGTGCACTAAGTTCTCGCTATGTGCGGGGTTCGGGGAAGGGCCGGACCCCTTTTTTTAGTGCTAAAAAGAATAATACATTTCTATATCTAGTAACAATTTAACTTTAAACTTACCATTATACCCTTAATGTGATGATTAATAACCACAGAATTTCTATATATTGTTTTAGATCACAAGTTTTCAAAAATCTTTTTTTTATTCTTAAACTTCATATCCAGACAAACACCGGCGTACAAAATTGGGATGGAGGAAATTATTGAAAAAATGACACTGTATAGCCACAGTAAAAATAATAGCCGAAAAATATAAAATTTGTATATTTTTTGTATATATATACATCCTGTATGTTATATATAAATTTTATATACTTTTTCGACTACCAAATGTAAATAATTTCTGGTGCGGGCTAAAACTGATAATACCTCAAAATTATTACTATATGGTTCTGCTACAGACCTTCAATTTGCAAAAGCATGGAACCTTACCCCATTGAAAATTAATATGCATTTGAAAATAGTTTTACACCTTTCTAAAAGTACAAATGTCTTTCATTCATACATACATTGTCCTTTTTGTAATGATCAAATAGTTAAATGTGAAAAAATAGGCTAGAAAAATATAGAATATATTTCAAACACGTGCACTATGAATTGCCTCACAACCCTTGTTTTTAGTTCTTAGAATTATATCTTGAATTGGTATAACTTTCTTAAAATTTTAAAATAGAAAGATTGATGTTGATAGTTATTATTACTTTGATCTTTGGTGATAATACAACGGATTTACGTGTAGTAACTAGCAAGTATATACTGCATGTACTACTTTTCAAATGCAACTTAATAAAATATATTGTATATGTCCAAATTTGGTAATCACAATGGGGTCGACCACGACACAGCGACTGACGGTCGTTGTGATAAAGGCCGATGACCAGAAGCGGGCAGCTGGAGTAAGATAATAACGGTAATCGAAACTTAGGAAGAGACGGGAAGAATAATATTCGTTTGGATATTCTTTATATTATACTTTTTAGGGTTTTTTGGGGAATGTCTCTTATAAATAGGAGGAAATAGTGACCAATAGGGGGATCTGCCTCTTTGGGAACCAAGCATAATATTGTAAAGTAGAGAGAAGAATATACGAAAGAGTTGTCCTGTTCACTTTATTCAAGCACATGTTATTTAACTTTCATCCATAAATCTCAGAGGTTCCGCATTCATATCAACTGCATACCCTTTCACATCGTTAGAAAGAAGAGACACCCAATCAAATAATCATTGGGTGAAAGCTCCTTCACGCTATAATCATTGTCGTTTCTTACATTTATTGCACATTTATGATATCGCATATTTCATCGGTCTTAGTATATTGAACTCATTAATTAATACTCTTAAACTCTTCTCACTACATAAGAATCTCGCTCTATTTGATCTAGGATTTATTAAGATTAACTGAGATTCACCTCATCATCTTGTTACTAATTAGTTTAGCAATTATTTGCTCAAACATATATCAAGAGTGAATTATTATACCGTCCATCTAATTTAGTTGGACCTTAAAAGGACGATTCTCTAATTTGAGAAATATTTTATACGTCCTATCTAGCTTTTTGTTTTTATTTTACGACGACAATGTTCACATCAGCTTGCTTGCATCTTAACTAATTCATCCATGAACGGGCTACCACCCGTAAATACAGATATTAAGATTCAGCCAAAACTTGGTACCAAACGTAGGATCCAAGATATACTTCTATATCCCTCTAAGTTTATGATTTTATTTTTCAAACTCCCATCTATTTATTTTTTTCTTTTGATAATCAAGAAATATCTGAGGGCCATTAGAACATGACTTAGAACTCAATATTTTTCTTTTAGGGTGTGTTTGGTATAAAGGAAAATATTTTCCAATTTTTCCATGTTTGGTTGGCTTAAATGTTTTGGAAAACATTTTCCTCATGAACTCAATTTCCTTCAATTGGAGGAAAATGTTTTCCCTATCAAGAGAAGGAAAAATATTTTCTAAAACTCCTTCTTAACCTTCCCCACCCTATTCCCCATCCCCCACCCCCACACCCAACCCACCCAACCCCAACCCAAGATTTTGGGAAGATAAATACACTATTACAGAGAGGTGAATCCAAAACATAAATTTTACGAGTTTAACATTTAATTCTTACTATTGCACTGATTATGCTTTTCGAATTATAAATTCAAAATTAATTTTTTAAATAGTAATTTCTTCATATATTTATACTCATATCAAAATTGTTAGGATCAATTGAACTCATTAACTAATATCTACACTCTGCACTTCATTAATACGCAAAAGTGACACCATACATGCCCATACCCCGTAGGTGCGCCCAATTCTAGAAAAATAAAAGAAAAAACAACAAGATTGACATAAAATTTAAACTACCAAACCTTAGAGAGGTACACTCAATACACATCGTATCAGTATCATATGATACTTTGAGCTTGAGTGCACGCGGGCAAACACACATATATATGTGTGTGTATTTTGAAAAAAAAAAATAGCAATACTACACAGTATACATGATTTAGGGAGGGGAGCATGAGTTCACGTGCCCTAAGAAACTCCCCCCCCCCCCCCCCAATATGCCCCTGTGGATAACGGAACACTAACATACTTAAGTGACTTATACAAAAGAGGGGCCAAAATCAAAAGCAAAAACCATGAGTATACAACTAGATGCTGAAAACCAGACAAATAATTTTTCTTTTTTCACTTATTCTCGTCTGTACATGGTATTTCAGCATATTAATACAAGAGGAATGGCAATAAACAATGACAGTTATTCATGATAAATTCAAAATGCATCCTATGATTGAACTCTTTTCTTCACCTAATTGGATAGTACTCCTCAGTCTTTACATGCAAATTTGTTGTGTTCCTCTATGCTGCCACAGTTCCCAACTTTCCTTGCTTTTGTTCTCGAAGCTGTGTTAATGCATCATCGATCTGAGCAAATACGTCCTGCTTGGAAGCGCTTCCATTCACCTAAAACGGAAATAATTCAGAAGAGCGGAAGCATATTGCCCTTTAAAGGATAAGAGATGATAACTCATGCACGCACCTGGAAATAGAGGAATTATAATATGTCTCGATCAAGTAAGGAATAGAGAAGTGTTAAGAGGGATCATTTCACTGATTTGCTTCTTCCCTTGGCTAAAAGTATAATATCGCTCATCGAAGTTGTTTGGTACCAATTGAGAGAGTAGCTTTTTTTCATCTCATATGAGAAAGATTTAAGAAGTTACTATTTGGGGGTAACACTAAAACCTCACTTCGACACCTTGTAAAATTTGAAATAGTGGCGTGCATCTATTACACGTCCTGTGTGTACTATTATTGTTCAACTTCAACCAAAGCCTTGGGCTATTACATTTTTCACATTCACAGTACCCAGAATCGGATTCATCTTCAAAATACTTTCCCTAGCAAGGATTTTCCCTTTTTCTTCTGGGTGGTGGGGTTTAGG